GCTCCCCCAGATGTCTTCAGTCCCTGTGAAAACCAAAGAGGGAAGGACGGCCCGTTGGGCACAGGGAGGTGCCCGGCCTTTGGGTTTGAGCCCATGGATGCAGCCAGTGCCTGCAGAAACCCCTAAATCCATCTGTGCCCACAAATCATGGAACTGTCGGGGCTGTGAGGGACCTTTAAAGGGATTTGGGGAATGGAGAAAGCCCTGCAGCACTCCCAGCCGGGCGGCAGAGTTTTTTTTTTTTTGCTTTGGGGTTTGGAAAGGCTCAAGGCCGCATCTCGCAGAACGGCTTCATCCAATGTTTTGGTGTCCTGGGAACTTCAAAGCGCCTCATCCCCAGTATGGACCCACATCCTGGAATCTGGGGGAGAACTAGTGATAAACGGGGAGAACCGGTGATAAAACAGCAAATTTCCCCTCCCCAGCCCACAGACAACAGCGCTTGGGACTAATAGTTGAAAGTTTTTTATTCATATAAAACTCATATTAAGAACATAAAAGATTGCATCTTAAAAAAAAAAAAACCAAAACCAAAAACACAAACCCCCGAAGATCTGCACTTATTTACAGCAGTATTGCACAAGTAAAAGTGGCAATTACCCTGTCCAAAATTCATCAGTGCAAAACACGAGTAAGCCAGGGAAACTGCGGTACGAATGCTACATACGCTGGGTCCTGTGAAACCAGTTAGTGAGCGCCGGGGCTGTACCTGACCTTCATGCCGGCACGGGGAAAAGTGGCCGAGACGGAGGGAAAGGGGGCTTTAGGGAACGGTGGGTAAAAACCACTGGGATGGAGAGCCAAATTCCCCATGGATTCCGCTAATGCTGAAGTCTTTGAGGCGCCTAAATCCATTCTGGGGAGCGGGATTTAGGCACTTGGGAGAAATAAATCATCTTGGTATCCCAACCACGTTGGCTGCGCTGCCAGGAGGAGACGGCGCTTCCGAAGGTGATCCATCACTTATTGCAAGGGCAAGGAGAAGAGAAAGGAAGGGGAACCCAAAAACTTTTTACAGGAACTTAAATAAGCAGAAAATAAATATACAACATTTCTACAAGTTACAGCATTACGGAACAGTAGAGTGCATTAATTACACGGGGCTGGGGGGGGGGAGAATCTACAGTATTTACCAAAGGTAACTCTGAAAAAGTTTAGGCAAAGTATTTTTTTCTTTTTTTTTTTTTACTTATTCATAAGCTGTACAAAACTCACGAGACGAAACGAAAGGAAAGACATTGCACGGAGATTTGGCTCAGTTGATGAAAATAATACGGTGCCCTACTCTAATAAATAGTCAGGTATTTACAGTTATGGTGTTAAAAAAAAAAAAAAAAAAGGAGAAGCGTGAGATCGCCCAGTAATAAATCTGATTTCCCCACAACCAAGGAAAACTCTTCATCCCATCCTTTTTGGCAGAACACAGACCACAGGTTATGCTTAAAACGACCCAGAGCGGTCGGCCAACGCGGCTAAAGCGGGCATAATCGCGATTTAAAAACATTATTCTTCTCTTTAGAGGCTTTTTGGGGTTGTTACCCTAAAACTCACAACTCCCAGAGGGTAAAACCTGTTTTCTGGGGGGTAATTTTCCCATGACCACCTCTTGGCCGGGAACACCTCCCGTGGAGAAGTCCCAGGTGCCAATACCTCAGGGCTGGGGGGGTTTATTTTCCCTTAAAATGACTATTTTTTTCGCCCCACTGTCAGCTAGGGCAGCCCGGTGGGGAGGAAGGGGGTAAAGTGCTCGGCGTTTCTTTGGTGTACTCCAAGGGACACATTCCGGGCGGCGCAGCACTGGGATGCTGTAAGGCTGCAGGACCCGAAAGCACCGTTCCATCCACTGACAACGGACGAAACTCAACCGGGGGGGGTGAAGAAAAGCTGGGTTGAGTCCCCTTTCTGCTGCCAATTTTAGTTATTCATTTTAAATTCTACCTCCGCATGGATTCCCATGGGAAACGCGCGGTGGCAGCCTTCCCGGTGGGGTTTTTTTTATATAAACCCTCCGGAAAAAGCATGGTGGCTCGAGCACGGAGCCTACGGGGAGCCAAAACCAAGGGGACACAGGGCAGGAACCCACCCTGGCCAAGCTCACCGGGTGTTTTAACCGCACCAGGGCGAAGGTCCCAGTCAAAACCTGCCCACAATACCCTTCCCTAAACATTCCTGCAGCTGAGGCCAGCTCCTGCAACCGATGCTCATCCTGCAGGTCCCAATAAAGGTAATAAATTGAAAATTAAAAAGAAATCGGTCCATGATCACTCCAGAGGAGCGCGGTTGGTCAGAGGTACGCAGGCCCCCACCGACACCGCGGCCCTTCGCCTACCGGACAGGCATGGAGAGGTCAGATTGTACAGTCTGTCCGTCGTTAAAAACACGGATAATCACACAGGGCACTGGGAACAGCTTCTCCCTGCAGAAAAAACTGCTACGGTGGGGTTTGGGGGTGAGGGGGGGGTGTTTCTTCTCCTTAATATGGCACTGGTGAAACCAGAAATATAAAACCGTGGCGTTTGGGAGGGGATTGGAGGAACACCTGCACCAGCGAGGGAAGGGGCAGCTCCAGAGGCAGGGAGGGGTACATTTGTGCATAGATAAGGGGGT